TGTCACTGTCAACATCATCATTCACCCAAGTGATTGTGGGGTGTAAAATCCTCAGTCCCATATTCTAGGCTAGGGGTTAGGGGTTTGGTGTGTGAGATTTTATAATATTTGACTGAATTTCTTGCTCTTGCCTTATTGCTTTTTAATTTTCTCCTGTTGAATAATTTGGGATTCTCGTGATCTAAATGCTTGAGGATTCTCTGACCATTTAGCTGCTTGCCTGTTTCAAGTTGGATTGCTTTAATTATTTTGCTATATTGTGGTTTGTTTTTTCCTGATTGAAATTATTTTAAGGGAAGGAGGTTCTTTCCAGATCTGTTGCTTACATTCAATCTTTTATTTGGCTGGTAATTATTTGTATACTTGTAGTAGTTAATTCCCTTTTAAAATGTGATTTTCTTTAAGAAATATTTTATCTTTGAGTGTGTTCTGTCTCCGTATCCTTCAGTGGGGCTGTCAGGGTGGGGGCAGAATTCTTCCTTGCTTTTGTGCTCTCTGTGTTATGTGCAGCTGCTGTTGTGTTTTTCTTTTTCCTCATCGGCTTGATTTGATTCTTGTTAGGTGAGCGAGTGCTGGCACCCTACTTTTGCTCCATGAGCACTAGGGGTGGCACTGATCAGCTGGTAGCCTGGTGTAGGGGTGGTGGGTGCCAAATGGCACTTGCTGGGGTGCTCACTTCTTGGCTGGAGGGACATCTTTGTATGGCCCGTGAGTTCTGAGGGTTCAGCAGAGATCCTCTGCTTCTGAGGTTTTTTTCGGATATTTGTTTGGCTTTGAGATTTGGCCTAGGCAGAAGGTGAACTGGATGAGGTAAGTCAGGATGGTTACTGAGACGTCTTCTGGGACTAGAATTCTTTGTAATTAATTATGTTTGCCCCCACCCCAGCCAGAGAGTTCCTAGCTGGACTGGGTTGTCCCTGTTTAGTCAATGCGATAATAAGGTTGGCAAGCAAGGACGTTTGGATCTGCCTTGCCTGCACCAACGTCATTCAACAAAGCAATTTGGAAGAGTACAGTTGTGCTGCCACCCCCATTCCCCTACTGATGTCTGATAAGATTGTTCGATGGTGGTTTTTCTTTCTTGTCTCTCTGTACTGTCACCTCCCTGCTGATGGTGGAGGGGGTGACTTGGTAGTAACATTCAGGTGGACAACCAGGAAGTTACCCATGTCACTTTAAATCTCAGCCAGGAAATTATTTTGGAAGTCAGAGAAACTAGGTTTCTTATAGCCCTTGGGCTGTTTAAAGTCTAGTCCATCAAACTAATCAGTTCAAGTAACATTGCAATTAATTTTAATCATTTGCAGCCACTTACGGTAATCAATGTAATACCCAAATCATATTCTTAATTTGATTCATGCTTCATTCTCATGTGAACTGAGCTACTCAAATATTAAAGAGTCATCACTCATTTGTTAGTTATGTGTTAAACATCTAGACTTAAAATTACTTTGCAGGAACTGATGTTATGGAAGTTATCAGTGTTAATGTGCTACGTTATCTAAGAGTGAAACCCTTTTCTGAACAGAATCCTGTGGGAGGGGGGCCATGTTCATCTCCTCTCTGCTGAGTGCACCTCTCACTCATGATGATTAGGCTAATCTAGCATGAGTAATAAAAATGAAATTCCTAACCAAACAGTAATTGGACATATCAGAATGAATTGATTTTTCACATTTCATTTTCATGGGTGATTGATCACAACTGGAATCATGGTATGACATTACATCATAATTGAAATCATGCTAAGTAACAAATAAGTCTCCATCTCATTTACATCTCTGAGATGGGAGACTGAAGACTTCTTATCTGTAACAAAATATGCTCATTTTGCTGCCCTGCTTTATAATCTTGGTTATGTGGAAATAATGGACTGGTTCCATTCACAGCATGTTTAGATGGTGCTTAGATAATTGGTCCTAACAAAAGAAGAAAATGGCTGTGAAATGGATGTGCAATAGTGGTAAGCATGTGCATTGTCCTCAGTTCAGCATGTTTGCACATAGCCACCATGGGTGTTCTCAATGGAGTCAGCTCTCCCAGTGCCAGTCCATGGAAGGACAAGAAGAGAGGCACAGATTTGGGGTACAATCCTGTAACCACTCAGCCTTACATAAATCCCATTTGACTCAATGGAACTTAATTCTGAGTAGACAGGGCTGAACCTCAGTCTGGTCAAACCCAATCCCAACCCAACAGTTTATGTTTACAAATCTAACCGAATGAGCCATCTATGAACGATACATACCTATGAGTGAATCCTGCCATCATCTGTCACACATTAAATTAAATTAACATGCTGCAGATTTTAACACAGTACACCACTGTTTTGTCCAAGCTTGGCAAATTTCTGCAAAAGGCCTAAGTGATTAACATTTTAATTAGAGGATGCAAAACCTAATTGAATTTTGATTCACATTAGTGGGTAAAAAATTTTAATTAAGCAAGTAAAAGATGACACTAAATGTCAAGTCAGTAATTTAAAAAAGAAAATGACATCTCTTGTAGTTGAGACTGTTTCCCCAAGTGGCATTTTGTTGTTTACGCCTTCCAGTTGCCTCTCTCTCTTTTCTGAAGTTTAAGTTGGCTTCCCCACCCTGGCATTTCCCAAATGCCTTGGAGTTCAGTCCCTTGATTCAGCTGCATGCCAGGAATAGTACAATTTGTGCTCCAGTGTATCAGGAAAGGGCCGGGCTGGAGACAGCTGCCCTATAATGTGCTGATCTCAATTCATTGCTGATTTGCATCTCCCTTACCTTTTTTTACCCCATCTCCAGGGCCAGCAATAATTAAGTTGTTTACTCACCCGTCAAGTACTAGATCGTTTGTCTGGACTTGAAAATCTTCATTTGAGTTATGAGACCCTGCACCCATATAAGACTGAAGTGCAACAATAAGTGGTTTTAAAGATTAGTCAAAGGTGGAGAGAATATTTAAATCAGAAATTTTTGCAGCATAAGCAAAATATTTCTGTGCACTACTGAAAAACTGCATCCTCTGTCTCTCCAGCCAACCAGAATCAAGACAAGTGGTCTCTAAAGATGAATAATAGGACACATATTTTACTTACAAATGCTAAAGCAAAAAAAGCAAAGCATGCTGCTTATAAACCACCCACCCCATAATGTTTAAAGGTCTCTCTGGGTGGTTTACAATTTAATTATGCAGGCTACACATTCCCTTCCACTAGCAAGCTACTATTGAGGATACTCAAACAATTTAATTAGGCAGGCTACACATTCCCTTCCATTAGCAAGCTACTATTGAGGATACTCAGTTTACTGACCTCACAAATACGGAAGGCTGAGTGAACCTCAAGCCAGCCCAGGATTAAACTCAGCTCATGAGCAGAATCTTCAGTGCAGTACTGCAGTTTAACCACTGCTCCACGAGGATTCCTATATTGTTGTGCTGTGACCCAAAACTATAATTCCGGGCATCTCCAAATCAACGAACAATTGTACCCTATTCCAATTGGCCCATACTTGTGTATCCCCTTGGTTCTATTGCTGGGGAAGACTGGGCTGTCACCAATTAAGCTACATCCTTTCTCTCTCTCTCTCTCTCTTTTACACAAACATGCATGTATTTTGCAATCTGTGCCCCATCCTCACTGCTGCTGTTACCATGCTCAGCTGTGCCTCTTCTCTTTATCCCTGATGCTCAACCTTTCTCCGCACCTTTATATTTTAATTCTTAACCTTGAATTTTAAATTAATTGGGATCTAATTAAATTAAGTCACCATTCTCATTGCATTTTGCTGACATTAGGGTAAAAATTAAAGTTTAGCACAATTAATTTTAAAATGCATTTAGTCTAAGAGCTATGTTTAGTGCATATGGAAACGGAAACAGGATGAAAGATTCCCTTGCTCGTCTCCCTTTGCTGGTTTGCAAAAGGTACCTTCATGTGGTATGTAGCTTGTATGGGAAACAGGGCTGTAAGCTGAAATTAGTTTTCTAGTCATTTTTTAAGCAATCCAAATGTAGATTGATAAGACTCATAAGGGGGTACGGGACTAAAAATGCTAGGAGAAGTGAAAGTCAATAGGAAATCAGAAATAAAACCATGAGATAGATTGAGTCAAGAAAGGAAATCACAACCTGTAGGCTGCAAAGCCTAGGCAGAGCTATTCATTACAGGACCTTTTAGGAGTTTTCCATTCATAGGGTCTCATGGCATGAGTCAGAAATAGAGATGGGTATGAACCACAGTTTGACGGTTTGGCCGAGTTCGGTGCAGCACCCACACAGGTGTTATGCTGATGCTACACACACTGCACTTTCCTGCCTCCTCTTCGCACTTCCCTCTTCTCTGGGAGATGCATGCTTCCTTCCTCGCCTCTCAAGCTTAACTGCCCACTCACAGATTGTAGCATGTGCTTCTCTCCTCTGCCTCCTCCAGCAGCAGTCCACTCAAAGGACATACTGGGGGCTTCCCTGCCCCATCTCCTCATCTGAGTGGGCAACCATCAGAGGAGGCATAGGAGAGAAGCATGCACTGCAATCCGTGGAGTGGGCAGTCATGCTGGGGGAGGCAGGGATGGAGGCACACATTGTCCAAGGAATGGGAAAGCATGCAGAGGAGGCAGGAGAGGGGAACGTGTGGCACCCGCATAACACCTGTGCAGTTGCAGTGGTGAACTTGGCCAAATCACCAAACTGTGGCTCATGCCCATCTCTAGTCAGAAACTAGCTAACAATACTTATCAACCACAATTGCATTTTAGTTGACTGATTACATTCCAAATATACCAAATATTTAATAAGGCATTTAATCTATCTGTCTGTCTGTCTGTCTGTCTGTCTGTCTCTCTCTCTCTCTCTCTCTCTCTCTCACACACACACACACACACACTTAAAATTCTTTCCCTCCCACATATCCTGACCACCAAAAGGGGCAGAATTTTTTTGTCCCCCTTGCAAAAGATGTCCATACTCAGGTTATGGGCAGAATTTGAATGCAACTAGGAACAAGACTTAATTATATGAATGCTCACCTAATTCGAGGTCTCTTATTCCCATGTACATTTCAAGAAGATCATCCACTTTTTTAATAGCTTTTTCTTCAACATCTGAAGGCTTCACCAAAAGAAAGAAACACATGGATTTTTTTTTAAAGGCCTTTCAACTAGAACTTGAATAACAGAGGAGTGCAGAAATAGCCCTTGGATGCTCAGAAGTTGTCTGTCGTTTTATACTTCTATTAGCATGTGAGGGTTCCTATATTTGCCTGGGGAAAGCTTTGTGAGCACAGATGTCCTATGGGAAAGGAGGAAATGTGGTCTTTTGGTAGGGTCTTTAGGGAAGCTGAGGGACGTACATCTTCTTCCCATCTCAGGCCCCTCAGAGAAGGCCTGGGACTGATAATCGTAAATTTCATAATAGTGATTATTGTCTGCAATAGGGGTAGGAGATTGGGCCGGGAGGGTAGGAAAATGACAAAAAAAGGAGTAATAAGAAGTCCCCGTCTACTATACAGTCTGGCCACACTACAGGTGAAATCCTCATGCGCAGTTACACAAACCGTGCTACTTTTAGATGTGAACTGCTGTGTTAAGAAAGCTCTGTAGACATTATCAGTTGCATACTGAGCAAGGCAATTCAGTGGGAAACAAGTAATGCCTACAGAGATTTCTTAATTAATGGTAATTCATGTCTAAAACTGACACTGCCCATGCACTTGCGAAACAGGATTTCGGCCTACACGTTAGAGATAACCTATCATTAGAAGTTAAACCATATTAGTATTCAAGAATTGTGACTGAGATAGTCTTGTATCTGGGAGACCAGATTTGCAAAGGAGGAAGGCTTATGACCTATATGTCAATCATAAAATAAACTAAGTTTTATTTTAAGCAAATTACAGAGGAGAGAAAAGCGCTTGCTCTGATCATCACACACCATCAGCCCTTAAGCGTTCTAGTGACAGGTTATGTATAATTTTTATTTTGGTCCTTGCTCAGCAGGGCTTAGGCAGTAGCTCCATTGCATACAGTGGGGTCTCGACTTACGAACGGCTCGACATACGAACGTTCTATCATTAGAAGTTAAACCATATTAGTATTCAAGAATTGTGACTGAGATAGTCTTGTATCTGGGAGACCAGATTTGCAAAGGAGGAAGGCTTATGACCTATATGTCAATCATAAAATAAACTAAGTTTTATTTTAAGCAAATTACAGAGGAGAGAAAAGCGCTTGCTCTGATCATCACACACCATCAGCCCTTAAGCGTTCTAGTGACAGGTTATGTATAATTTTTATTTTGGTCCTTGTTCAGCGGGGTTTAGGCAGTAGCTCCATTGCATACATTAAACTGTTATACCATAAATGTAATTAATTAAGTCTACATCCCCCTATGATTTCAGATTGTTCATTTTTTTGCCTAGTATATCCAAATGTCTAAAATGTGACCTTTTACATTTCAACCTATGCAAAAGACCTGAGAACTGCCTTCCAATACGGATTAAGTTCGTAAGTCGAGACCCCACTGTACATTAAACTGTTGATTAAGTCTACATCCCCCTATGATTTCAGATTGTTCATTTTTTTGCCTAGTATATCCAAATGTCTAAAATGTGACCTTTTCTGGACATTTTACATTTCAACCTATGCAAAGTTTTAATCTAGTGAAAATATCAGCTAAAATCCAAACATTTAAAGCTGCAATGCTATATACATTTATTTGGGAATACATCTCAGTGAAGTCAGTATGCTTTGCTTCTGAATATACTAGGTTAGGAGACTTCTGCACTTAAAGGTCATCTGAAAATAATTGTATGTAAAAAAATAAAAGAAAACAGACATTTATTACATTTACAATATTGCACATAAATTACCTTACAACAAGGTACAGCGGTGCCCCGCAAAGCGACAATAATCCGTTCTGAAAAAATCGTCGCTATCCGGATTCGTTGCTATGTGGGACTAAAAACCCCATAGGAACGCATTAAAACACGTTTAATGCGTTCCTATGGGGGGAAACTCACCACTATGTGGAAATCCTCCATATGGCCACCATTTTCGCTGCCCGGTATGCAAGGGAAACCGCGTGAAAACGCTGGGGGTGGCCATTTTTTTGGTGGCCATTTTGGAACCGCCGATCAGCTGTTTTTAAAACATCGCAATGCGATTTTTGGCCATTGAGAACATCGCAATGCTATCACTTTTGCGATCGCAAAAAAAGCGTCACTATGTGGATTTGTTGTTAAACGGGGCGCTCACTATGCGGGGCACCACTGTAATTTATGTGCAATGTTGTAAATTAAATCCACTTTTAATTAAATGCATTTCAATACTGCATTCCTGAACATCCTGGAGGAAAAAGTATCCCCCCCCAAAAAAAAAGAAATGTAAATTGTACTCAAAGAAGCCTCTAGACTGCAGCTTTAATTTGTGATTTAAACACAATTTTGCTTCCTCCTGTTTTAAGCCTTTCTCCCCTGGTGACTGGTATAAAGATTGAGATGGTCTGAGAAGGCATGGGGACCCACAGGTTCTATTTTCCCCTCCTCAATGTAGAGTGTATCATTGATTTTCTTACTAGAATTAGTCCAGTTATTGATTCTATTCTACATAGTATCTGGGACACTACTGTGTTTCTTTTTCTCTCATTTGTCCATTCTTTGCATGCCCTACACGTTTTCTTCACTTTATAGTAGGCTAACCCAATTACAGTGGTGCCTCGCTTTACGACTGCCCTGCATTATGACGAATCCGCTTTACCATGATCTTTTTGCGATTGAAATTGTGATTGCAAAACGATAGTCTAAATGGGGGAATTTTGCTTTGCGATGATCGGTTTCCTGCTTCGGGAACCGATTCTTCACAAAATGATGTTTTTCTAACAGCTGGTCTGCGGTTTCAAATGGCCACCGGGTAATTAAAATGGCTCCCCGCTGTGTTTAGGGACGGATTCCTCGCTATACAGGCAGTGAAAATGGCTGCCGTATGGAGGATCTTTGCTGGACGGTGAGTTTTTACCCCATTGGAACACTTTGAACAGGTTTCAATGCGTTTCAATGGTTTTTTTTATTTCACTTTATGATGTTTTGGCTTAACGGTGATTTTCCTGGAACGGATTATCGTTCTTAAGCGAGGCACCACTGTAGTTATCCAACACCATATAAGGAATACTTAAAATGCCTAGATTGTTATCCCAAATCTTCATTTCACCTCTGACTGTATTTGGAATTGTAACTATCATACCAGGAAGCTTTTCTATATAACTACAGAAATGCAAATAGCCCCGTTTGTAATACAGCAGGACCCCCATATCCATGGAGGATTGATTCAAAGCCCCCCCCCCCGAAGATGCTGAAAAACATGGATAATAGAGAACACTATTATAATAGTGAATGCTATACTAGTAGCCAGTTCTGGAAACTTCATATATATTGGGCTTCTTTTAGTATTTTTAATATTTGCATACCATGAATAAGTGACTCAATGGATACTGATCCCATGGATAAGGGGGTCCTGCTGTATTGATTTGTCCCAGTTTTCTATCCTTATACATTAACATTTACTAATGCAACTGAACTGGGTCAAATATGGCATTTTTCACAGGTCTGGAAATGAACAGTGTGGCCATTTACCTGTCCCTTTCTTGTCAAGGTCACCTTTATTGCAGTTTCTCAATACTAGTTTTTTAAACCACACTACATGTCATGTTTTTGTGATTCATAAACTGTTCCCATGATCAGTGATGTAGTGGAGCCAAAGCTCACAGGATCAACGCCCCTGGAACTTTCAGAGTTAACAAGGACTACGACATTATCACTGGCACTCCTCCCCATCCATTCCTGTTTCCTTTGAATTTTAATACAGTCCTCACAGTAGCTGGGGGAGAAACTGATTTTCCTAGGAATGGTGTATTGTTGCAAGCTGTCCCTGATGCAACGAATTTGAAAGTCCTTTGTTCTCCAGTGGGCAATTATGAGCCACTAACTTTACAAAAGACTTCTTCCTTTCTTGGTATGGATCAATCCATGTTCCTGCATGTTTGGACTATCCTTGGGGGAAGATATGAAAGCAGCTATAGTGGACATTGATCCTTCCAAGCTGCTAGCCATGATATCTGAATCTTAAACCTTGAAGCTGCTTTAAAGACTTCATCCATCCCAAAAGTTCTATCCCTTATCTCAGCGAGGCAGAATTCTATAGCAGAAACTCACCATTTCCTCTATAGTAGCAGGGCCCTTGGATCTCAGTCGAAGAGTCTCTCTCCCTCTGGAAATTTTTCCTTCCGTAAAACTTTCTTCTGTAAGACTTCCAACTTTTGACCTTGGTTCAATCATTTCTGTAATAGACATAGCACTTACATAATTGGGAGTTTTAATCCAAATATCATTATTTTTGTTTGAGATATTGTTGAAAGGAAAGTCAAAACTAGGGTTCATTATGCAATATGTCACCATTTGGCAATCTGTTAACACGAACATCTTAAACTGGATTTATCTTGGGACTGCTTTTGCCATCGGGGGCTGCTGAAGTCTTTTGCTTTGGCCTAACATGTTACCTTGTAGGGTTATACATTTCTAGAATAGCTGAACTGAGTACTTTGTGTCACTCTGGGTCACCACAGTTGTAAACTTAGTCACAAAAGGTATATTGATCCATTTATTGCTTTCTTTAAAAGACTGAAATAAATAATTGTTATAACAAAGGCACTTAAATCTCCGTATTGCACATGTAAATGAGCTCATAGTCAAAGTGTTGAGGAATGCTGCAAACTCACACATTCTGTCAAGGCAAAACAGAATTAAGAATATGAGGTGAGACTCTGGGCCCTAAGTGCTTCAATGACTGCTGCTGTTATGTACAGCACTTACACTCCAATTGTTATAGCAAAACTCTTATATCTGAGGGATCAGTATCCATGGTTTTACTTATCCCCAACCTGAAAATATTAAAAATATTAAAAGAAAAAAAAACAGAAATACATAGTTCCATGATGTAATTACCAGAACTGTCCACTAAAGGAAGCCAGAGATCATGATATGCATAAGATTTACCATTCGTCGGTTTTGGCATCCTTGGGGTGTGTGGAACTGATCACGTGCTATGTACATGGGGTTCTACTATACATGAAGATATTAATCTTGACTGTCAGATCTTTTCACAAGAAGTCCCAGCTATTCACGAATGTACAGTCGTGCCCCATTTAACGATTACCCCATATAACAACGGATCCGCTTCACAACGATGTTTTAAATGGGTTTTTTTCACTTTGCGAAGATCAGTTCCCTGCTTCGGGAACTGATTCTTCGCATTACGACAATCAAAACAGCTGATCGTCGGGTTTTCAAAATGGCCACCGGGTGCTCAAAATGGCTCCCTGCTGTGTTTTTAGACGGATTCCTCGCTCTACAGGCACAAAAAATGGCCGCCCCATGGAGGATCATCGCTGGACAGTGAGTTTTGCAGCCCATTGGAACACATTGAACGGTTTTCAATGCGTTTCAATGGGCTTTTTTATTTCACTTTATGACGTTTTCGCTCTATAGTGATTTCACTGGAGCGTATTAACGTCGTTAAGTGATGCACCACTGTATATCATACAAGACTTTGTGGGCAAGTGCACGAAGCATAGGGGAGAGTAGAAACTTGTAGGCAAACAAACAAACATTAAGAAGTTGCATTTCACAGCACTGTAGCAAGACCTATCACATAGTTTTTGGCCTACAAGTTTTGTCGCGTGAATTAGAAAACCCCAGATGACAGATGAAAAACAAGCCTATGAGAAGAAAAACTATTTAAAAATATTGTTCCCTGTCATTTATGCACTATGTTCTTGGTGTTTTTTTCTACTTTATTTTAAACCCAGTTGCCTAGAACCACATCCTACCAGCTGTGCCATCTTCAATAACCCACCAGTTTTGAACACCCACATATGTTGGTGCCAGGGGACGGGATGTTATTGAGCCCATATCGCTGCACCATGCTTAGTAGTTGCCATCAACTGAATGGCAGGCCTGTTTTAAGCCTTATGCTTCATGCAGCATAGCTTCTTTTGCATTTTACTCTGTCTGGAATCATACATAAAAGGAAACTGCAGATTCACATACTATAGATACTGTATGTATCACTCACCAAATGATTTCATTGGCTCTACCAATTTTAGCATAATTGTCTGGCCCTTCTCCAAGTCCTTTAAATGCTTAGCAACTTCATAATGACGACAGCCCACTACACTTTTTCCATTTATAGATTCTACGTGATCACCAACACATATCACTTTTATTTGGTCGATAAGGCTGCCTTCTTTAATTCTCTGTTGAATAAAAAAAAACAGTTAGTTGTAATGAATGCAAGAAGAAAGAGACTTATCTACAGGGTTATTTGATGGGCCAAGTATGGAAACACAGAGATCTCATTTGCAGAGCCAGATCAAGTATACAAAAAGTTGAGTTGCCTTAATCTTCACCCACCCATATTTAAAACTGTCAGATGGAGGACAGAAGAAACACTAAAATTGTAAAAGACGGGCAGGAAGCAAAAGTAAAAGGTGATAAATAGGGCCCAGAACCCTGAATGCAGTTTTTCAGTGACTGTCACATAAAGACACAGAGAAGTATTACAATAGCCAGTGCAAAGGAATAGAGCATTTATGTTCTGCTTTATTCTCTACTTTGCATTCCAGTCACCTATGAAACATGATAGCTATCTTCAAATATCGGACACATTATCATGCTGAAGATGGGAAAAGCTATTCTCTCCTTGCTGGGGTGGCTCATGAACTAGGAAAAGAGGTTGTCTCAACCAAATATTCAACCATCTGTGCGTGTTGCTCTCAAAGGAATGGTGAGCACTAATAGATTCAACACTACAAAGAAGCAGATTTTCACCATACTGTGGTAATAACTATATGATAGAGGATACGACTGTGCAGGTAAGTGGTAAACTATCCTTCACCAAAAGGCATTTTAGTAGAGGCTATATCACCTCTCATGTTAAAGATCATATAAGGATCAGAGTGGTGGACAACACGACCTCCAAGTCTCCTATTCTATTACACCAGAAGTAACAAATGCACTTTAGTGTCCCTCTTTTCAACTGTAACATATGGAAATAAAACAGTAAAACATGTAGTCTACCCTGACTGCTTTCTGAATAAGAGCACAAATTTTGCTCACCTTTTGAGCTAATACATATATAAATATAAACGTGCATGACCATTTTTAAAATTGCAGCATAAGACAATCAAAAATATATAAAATACAAAATTATACTATCAATATGTATTATCCAATATGCAATGAATTTATCACATGTAAGAAGTTAAGTAACTATTCTGGGTGAAGCACTCTTTCAAATTACATGTGACTAAATCTAAATTTTAGTCACATTACCAGAGAGAAGATTCCCTGGAAAAGACACTGATGTTAGGAAAGTGTGAAGGCAGGAGGAGAAGGGGACGACAGAGGATGAGATGGTTGGACAGTGTCATCGAAGCTACCAATATGAATTTGACCCAACTCTGGGAGGCAGTGGAAGAGAGGAGGGCCTGGCGTGCTCTGGTCCATGGGGTCACGAAGAGTCGGACACGACTAAACGACTAAACAACAAAATCCAACTTTAGTTCCCATTAGGGGAGATCCACTGAAAAGATTGGAACCTATTTGTCATAGGTCCCACTGATTTCAGTGGGTCTACTCTATGTGTGTGTGTTCTGTGCTGTCAAGTCAGAACCTACTCATAGCATCCCCAATAGGGTTTTCAAGGTAAGTGAGATATTTAAGGAGTTATTTTACCAGTTCCACTCCTCCAGTGAGTTTCCATGGCTAAATGTGGGATTTGAACCTTGTTCTCCAGAGTCCTAGTCCGTCACTCTATCCACCATACCACACTGGGAATGGGTCTATTCTAGCTGAAACTAAAAAGGGTTTTAGCATATAAAGTTTTAGCCTGTTTCTTTTAAATATGGTGCAAGAAACTCTGCATTCATGAAATGGCTTCAATATCCCACATTCAGTCATCAACTTTTTTGATGCTGTTTCACTAATTTCTCGGTTCACTCCATTGTCCTTACCTTAATGAAGGCATATCCATTTCCGTTATCAGTAATTGTAAGGCCCAGTGAATCTTCAGACTTGAAAACTTCTACCTCCTTTTTTATTCCTTTTATATGAGCAAATATGAAGTCTTCAAGACCAATCTGCACTCCTAACAGCTTGTCCATATCAATTTTGTGTGTATTTAAAGTGCAAAACATTATCTACAAGGGAAAAAAAGGAAATGCATTTCATTAACGTTTTAGGAAAAAAAAGGCCCGGGGAAATGCTCCTGACATAGCAAGATGGTGCATGCACTCATCCCACGGTGGAAGAAGGAAGCCACAGTGCCTTGTATTTTACGCAGTATTTTCTATAATGTTTCTTTTGTTTCAAGTACATGCTCCCTTTATCAAAACACAGACTGATTACAAAAGCCATTTTATGAAGAAAAACAAAAGGCTGTGCCACCTCCATGCAACAAAAATGCTTTGTGTAAGGCTGAGAATATCATCAGCTGCAGTGAATATTTCAGAAATGAAACACCTCCAATCCCCCCCCCCTCCATGAAGATCCTGAGACTCCCATGGAATCTCTCTCATTGTAGGGAAGCCATGGGGGGGAGTCTTTAATCTTCAAAAATCTCTGCTGCTGGGATGACTCTACCAGAAACAGTGATTTTTAAGAAATTAAAGACTTTTACACACACACACTTTCACAGCTCCCCCACAGGCTCCCCCACAACTAAAAGGATTCCATGAGAGCCCCTGAACCTTGGAGGGAAATATGAAATGTTGTATTTCTGAAAAACCACTGTGGCTGGTGACGTTATCAACCTTATGCAGCACAACACACAGAGCAGGGTTTCAACCAATATAGGATCTAACCCACAGAAGCAAAAAATAAAAATTATGCAACAAACATTGAAGCCATGTTTTACAATGACCTCCTAAATTTACTGCAAGAACAACATCACAAGGAAATAAGAATGGATGATACAGCCTAGCTTTGAAAGAACATACATTTTGCATTAAGTAGAGCAATGTGGGTCCCAAAAAAGGCAATTGAGGGCCTGTACGGGCTTAATTAATTCTGGACTCTGTGATCTCTAGACAATAGAAAGAACAATCAATTTATAGAAGCTGCTCACCCCAAAGGAATTACGCGAAAAAGGCCGATAAATAGTGGCTCAACTACAACTGTTTATGGAGATAAGAGATATAGATACAGCTAGAACAATGATTCCCTACCTTGGATTCCCAAACGTTCTTGGACAAATTCCAAGAAGCCCTCATCACCAGCTGTGCTAACCAGGATTTCTGGAAGTTATAGTCCAAGAACATCTGGGGACCCAAGTTTGGGAATGATTAATCTAGAAGAAGAGCAGTATTTTTCCAGTTTCATTTCAGGACTTATTTGACCCACAATCATTCTCACAATCTAGATGATAGTGGGAAGTTTAAACGGCAGAAATCCCAAACCTTAAAGCAAATGTCAACACAGCGGCCAAAATCCTGTTGCTTAGCATAGTAGATAATCTAGACTAGGTCCATTGAATCAATGAAGATTTGGTGAGATAACTCCTCCATACGCTCCATGGACTTGAAGGAGCCTAACTGCAACTTACTGTACAGCTAAAGTAGACTAGTTTGAAGCATTGGAATTTATGGAAGAGTTGAGTCATCAAATCCTTACAGATTCAATGGACCTACTCTAATGTGATTCACTAAGCTAAACAACAGGATTTTGGCCAGAAGAGGTCCTTCAAGGGTACTGGGCAGATCCTGTAGCCATTATTTTAAACTGCGCTTCTCTCTTGAATCGCACAGGTTTGAGCAGCATTGGTTCTACATGGATGTTTTTTCAATAAACAAATATTTCAATTAATCAATCAATATTCAAAAAATAAATAAAGAAGGACCCCTGTATCTGCAGATCAGTTCCACCACCACCACCACCCCCGATGCTGAAAAACAGATTACAATGAATGCTACTGTAATAGCGAAATATAGCATGGCCTCTGCCTACCTCTAGTGGCCAGTTCTAGTAACTTCATCTTTAGAAATATCTATTTCTAGAATACTGTATTTCTTTTAATATTTTCAGACTGTGGATAAGTGAATCAGTGGATACTGATTCTGCAGATACAGGGTTCCTACTGTATTTAATAAATACTGTACTGCTATTCATCTCCAGGAAGTGGTCTGGAAAGGGTGTCTTGGCCTTCCCCAAGAGCCCTGTTGTTGACAGAGTAGGAGCCCCTGGTCTAATGGCAGCAGTCCAGCCAGCCCCCTCTCCTGTTGTGGCAGCTCCACATGGTAGCCGGGGAGAGTCCTGAGAGATACACGTCTGCCTCCTTTGAGCATTCTTTGGCTTAATGGATTATTTCCCTCAAGTGCTAGCTTTCTTGGATTTTCAAAATCTTCTCTAGAAGTTAAGAGAGAGTGAATGAGAGAGAGAGAGAGAATCAACTGCTTGTGCTTTTTAGTTATGTTGGAGAGGCATAGGAGTAATACATGGATTTTGAACTACAAAAAGGGTCAAGCACTCTATTAATATCCATATTACCATTAGTCATTCTTTTAGAAGTAATGTATTATCTTCATGCGGCTACCCTTTCTCTAACCTTTCAAAGTTCTTCTCTTTAATATTTAAAAGTAGAAAAATGACCAAAAATCCACCAAATAGCCCTAACAAATTTTTTTGAAAATAATGAATAAATGTTATTGAAGGCAAACCCCAGTGTGCTCCATTAAACTTCTGTGAAATGCTCATAGTTCTGTACTCAAACATTTAAAGCAGGCGCCCTCTCTCATATTCTTTTTCTGAGCAATGAATTATTCACAATCTTATTTGCATTAATACAGAGCAGTAATACAACCATGTACGTACATCCTTATTCTCTGTGTGTACAACCTTATTCATTTTAAATTTCTTCCGTATTTTAGTATGCAACAAGGATGCACAGTTCTCTCTTTCAGCTTCTTCCTTTACAGTCCTTGTAGCTTCTGTTTACTGTCATAACAAAATACCTGCCACCATTTGGCATTGCGGCTGCTCTTGTGGTATGTGTGTGTGTGTGCTATGCCTGCAATGTAATTGTAGGAACACCTTCAACCACTAAAATCGCATATCGTACTAACAAACTCTACCGTGGGAAGACTAGAAAAATTATACAATACATACACACACCAATATATGAATGTACTAAATGAAACTCAGTGTGTATTGAAAAGTGTTAATATCCAGATGTACATTGCAGATAATTTATCGTTAATATGCAGATATACATTAAACACAAGAGTTTTCTTTGGCCAAGGTTTTCATGGACTATAACCCATCTCACCAGGTACATGGAGTATTACCACAGTAAGCAAAAAGATGTTACGTGTAGATCACAACAGAAATGCCAAAAGTACCAGTTTCTTAATTATAGACAGAGAAAATCATTCAACAATCATTAGCAGATGACGAGTACATCCAAGCATAGATTAGCAGATTAACACATATATGGTGATGAAGAGTCTCAGTTCAAGCCAACATTAAGAAAAGAATTTGACTCCTGGTATGCATTAACCCCCAGGGAATTAGAAGCGTGTAGAAGAGTCAGAGAAAATAGGAAAGATTAAGGAATGATACGATAATGCTCTGGGACCTTCCACTTCAGCATATGATGATATGTATTCTTCTTAAAAGGAAGTCACCAAATTCTGCTAAAAAGTGCTGCTACAAAGCTTGAACTTGTCTTTCAAAGAAATTCTTTGACTAAGAACTTCAGTCTGCAATTAACTTTGTACTTCCTGGAGTAACCCATAAATAAGACTGTGAGACTTGCTTTGGACTTTACTTTCACAGACCCAAAAGAATCTCTTCCTATTTAAAAAAAATAGGAAAATAAATGTAAATGAGAATAAAGCTGTGCACACAGTGGCAAAACATGCATGGTTTGGGAGTAGCTCTGTAGCGGACAAAAAAGCTCTACAGAGAACCATTAAAATTGCCCAGAATATCATTGGGCTCCAAATACCAACCCTGGATGAACATCTTCACATCCCGCTGTCTGCGGAAGTCACACAACATCCTGACTCTTCCCATCCTGCTTACAATTTTTTGATCTGTTGCCATCTGGCAGAAGATATAGAACAATTAAGACTCGGACCACACGTTTTCTGAACAGTTTTTATCCCAGAGCTATAATTGCACTTAATAATGAGCTTAAAGACCACCAGTAGTGAACAGTTAGTTGGACTGTGTTACTTAGCCTGTGGTGTAGATGTTTGTATTCTTAGTGGGGGATTTTTAGTGGGTGGGGAGTGTTTGGGGAATTTTTATGTGTGTGCATGTGGGTCTGGTCTCTGGGTGCCTATGTGAATTTCATTGAATGGGTATACCATGTACTGATTATACTTACAAGGACAATAAATTATACATTATTATTATTAAACCAATGCAAAATTGCACGGTGCAATGTATACATCTCTGCAACCCTCTCAATTCTCTGCCAGCAGTTGTAAAACACACCATTGTAGGTCAAATCCTGCTTTCTCCTTATAATGAATAAAAATTGTATGCCATCAAATCAATTCTGACATATGGCTACCCTTTCATGGTTTTCTAGGTAGAGGGTACTCAGAAGAGGTTTACCATTCACTTCTTCTGGGAGCATCTTGGGACTGTGCAGTTTGCCAAAGGCCACACAGGCTGGTTCTTCTGGGAGGCACATTTATAAGGCATGACAATTCTCCAGAAACTAGATCCTTGAGGATTTAATAGTAGTAATGATATATATATATATAAAGAAACTAGATCCTTATTTAAACACATTTTTCTCTTTAGGCTATATTTATAAAAGGATATGGTTCCTGGAGAATTGTCATGTCTTATAAATGAAACATCTACAGTCTTCTGATTTTCCACACACACCCCTCACTTCAGGTGCAGGTGGGGATTAGATAATCTTATAATGGCTGTAAAAATTGGATAGGGGGCTGTAAAGCAAGCTGTTGCAAGCCAGGAGTTCCCAGTATAATAGTTGGTGAGAAACAGAAGTGGCAGGAAGCTGGCCCACTCTAGTCTTGTTTGTGGTCTTTCAGCTGGCCACTGTGTGAAGATTCCACACACACCCACCCTTGACTTACAGACGGCTCGACTTACAGACTTTTCGAGTTACAGACTTCTCTGCCTGCAAAATTTAGATTCGACTTGCAGCCGGAGAATCGACTTACAGACCAGAAAAAAACCAAAATGGAACAAAAATAGAATAAAAACCGCTGGTTATGGGATTAATCGGTTTTCAATGCATTGTAGGTCAATGGAGATTTGACCTACAGACTTTTCGACTTGCAGACACCATTCCAATACGGATTAATTCCGTAAGTAGAGGGTCCACTGTAGATCAAACAGGTCTTATTTCTGATCCAGTGCATCTCTTCTTACATTCTAAATTCCAGCTCAATAGTTGTGTGTATAATGGCCATTTTAAGGGCAATGACATAACACTGTTGGATTGGATTGTTTTCATGCTGGTTTTTGAACATTGCCATTTCTTTGTGAAGATTTTCAGTCAGCCAGGTAAGGTTATCTGGAAGCTGAGTGATGGCAACTGGACTTCTTTCTTGTTAGGCTGAAATGTTTCACTACTCATCCAAGTAGCTTCTTCGTCTGAGGAGAGTTGGTAGAAGATCCCTGATATATACTCCACATTGATCTCATTTCCACCTGGTCTTTGTTAGAAGGACACAGGTCATGGGTAGTTAACAGTGGCCTTTCTGGTGGGCGTGGTCCTGATCTTTCTGGGGACAGGTGAAAGGGTAGCATGATAAATAGGAGACAGATTATATCTAAGGCCTCCACCCATGTTGAGTGAGGGATTTTCTATATGCACATGTATGGCCTCCCTGACTCCTCTCAAACCACCTATCTCCTCAGTCCAAAATGGCATCTTGGTCATCAAATTGAGTGTCCTTTATCTTTCAAATGAAGAAACACTGATGATTGTGGTCCTGAGCCAATGTCCCTCCTGTGCTGGGCCATTCTCCTGTTTAGTAGCTGTTTGGTTTCTCTAATGTAGAGCTCTGAACATTCCTCTTTGCAGCTGTTGTGGGTTTTTCGGGCTCTTTGGCCATGTTCTGAAGGTTGTTCTTCCTAACGTTTCACCAGTCTCTGTGGCCGGAGTCTTCAGAAGATTGGAGTAGCACTCTGTGCTCTGGTGCAGTTTGTTTGGGAGTTGAGAATTTATAGCTGTGGGATCAGTTGGTGTCCTTTTCAGGAAATGGGTGATTATGGTGATCAGTGTGTTTTTGTTGTGGGTGTATTGTTGTGATAAGGAGGAGAGATTATCTGTCACTATGATTGATGGGTGTTGTTAGCTGGTCTTTTGTGTGTAGTGATCACTGGTCCTTTTGGATGGGTAGAGTTTGTTGACCTCAACAGTTAAAAACTCAACAAAGTTTAAAACTCAACAAAACTTGGATCCCAGCACTGAAAAGTACAGCCTGCAAAAGGTTGATGAACTCTACCCAGCCACAAGGACCAGTGATCACTACACACAAAAGACCAGTGTCCTTGGAGGGAACGACACATTTCAGATAACCCACAGTAAGCTTTTTATTGCAGGTTATCTAAAAACAGGCACAAAACCACCCATTTCGCACATCTTGCTTTAATGCAATTTCTCGCATTAAAGTAGGACATTGAGTAGTTGCCAGACTGCCACTACCAACTGCACTGGAATTGGTGAAGCAGCTTACCTGTCTGACATGTGGCAAAAATGCAGCCACTAGAACATCAGCAGCCAGCCAGTGCCAAGGTGGCTGGGGAGCCTTCCAGAACTGGCTTGGCAATACCACTGGTCTTGCCTCAGGGGCAGATCCAGCAGTTCAGTTTTTGCTACATGTTTAAATTTGATCCAGATGCAGTCAGCCTCCCAACACTGACTGACAAGCAATGGAAACCCTGGTATGATTTGTAAAAAGTGTGCATTGGCACTACTTTCAAATTGCACCAGCTCTTGCATCATGTGCAGCGACAGAATTCACTGAAAATTTGCTTAGCATTGTACCAGTGTGTAATTACAGAAAAGAATAGATAGAATGGGAGGAGAATATTAGTGTTCCTCTAAAAGCACATAATCCAATTTAATTATCAAACTAAAGGAATGTTTTTAGAAGGAATGACCACATCTGATATGAAGGAATGACCACAACTGATATTTTATTTTCCATTATACTGGAATTATGTAACCTATATTATCTCCCATCAAGTTGACAAAGGAAATCATGGATAACATCAAACATGAACAATTTATCAGATGTTACCATTACTGTAGAAGATCTAAAATTCGAACATGTTTACTTCAAATGACTATGGCCAGGTTAAGAATGGCTAGCTAAAAATGAAATTATTTTACTGCTCTTTTTAATAAAAATTATGTTGCTTTTCTTCTCAAGTAAATATCTTGCCTGTCATAATAAAGAGATTGTTCTAGAACAAAGCCATAGTAATTTCATTCTTAAATGCAAAATATTCACCTCCAACACTGACCAGCCAGAAACTAGAACGAAAAGTTATTGCAAATCATGTTCATTTGGTACAAGCCAGCATACCTCTGTGTGGCTTGCAGGTGGAATGCATGTTTCTTTCTCAGAAATTTTAATCTTTACTTAATTGGTAGATCAGTTGAAGTTTTCAGGTGGCTGAAGCTTTGCACCCACATTCTGGTAACCGTAAATTGTAAATGGTTCTCCAGCCTTAATGAAACACTGTTTCATTCCAGTGACTGAAAGTCTAGAGCACTGGTACCCAAAACTCCCAGAAGCCTTGACCACTAGCTGTGCTGGCTAGGATTTCTGGGAGTTGTAGTCCAAGAACATCTGGGGACCCAAGGTTGAGATAAAGGCTGGGCTAAAGGCTTTAACCATACTGAAGCTCTTCAAATATTGGTGTTTCTCAGCTCAGTTCCTGCTGATAAAATCACTACATTGGAGTTTCTTTCCATAAAATAAAGGGCATTTTCCCTGTAAAAAAATATTCTTTAAAAGTTTGACCTTGACAACATAAGTAAACATTTCATAACTGGCTTCACACCTTTGATTAGATAAAACTGGAAAGAGAGAAGAAATGTGATATTTAGAAACATGAGACGATGTAGCTCAATTTAGAACAGCAACTGGGCAACACAGACTGCAACCTCCGCATGAGCCAGTTTCATGCCACCTCCCTCTGGAAAGAATATCAGTCAAACTAGGACATCGATTATTCATTTGGCTCCCTCCTTTCTTAGTATCTATTTGGGTACAAGGTTTGCAAAGCCAGAAAAAGAAAAAGAAAACTGACCTCAAGGAATAATTCCCATTCTAAATGAGTTTGGCATCCAACCAGTGGAAGCAGGAGCTTGGATGGGGGGCGGGCGGTCTGAGTCAGAGAAAGAGAAGGGAGCCTTGCCCTGCTGGCATGAAACCACATGAGGCCCGCCCAAAGCCTCAAGGCAAAGTGCTCAGCTGGAGGGAAGGGCTCCTCAAGAGAAGGACTCTACCAGGGATAGATGGTCTCCTTAGGAGGAGGCTTTTCCTCCCTGGAGACCCATGGGCCAAACCCCATGATTCTTCCCCCCCCCATCCGCCCAAACACCTACATCTGAGTTCTAGCAGTCCAGCTATTTTAAAAAGCCTTCCCTGAATGTTGTTGGGGGTTTTTGGGGGGGGGTGTCCTGATCTTGATTCATACCCTAACATTGTTGATTCTTTGCGTTATGTGACCTTTTGACCCACCTTTTTCTGATTTCTGGACTGGCTTGACTTGGACTGTTCTGGACTCTAGCTCTCAACATCTTGCACCTAGTTTATTTTACACCCTGGTAAACCTTTATTTGCTGGCCTTGGGTCTGAATTTCCCCAAGGAACAAAGGACATGGACCTCAAGCATTTCCCAAGGATACTGGTCATTTGCCCCTATTGCTATTGGGTTTGAGGCCTGGTTTTGATAAGCAAACTTCAAGGGGTCACTGAGCCACCTTGTACAGAACCTAATGAGCAGAGAAATGGTAAGCCCCACAACCCCTTGTAGATCTCATGGAACTTAGCAAGCCCCACCTATTCTTTCTCTTTGGAATGACCACAGAAAAGAACGTGCTTGGCCTGTGAGTTCTAGAGGCTTTTCTGCTACAGATTCTGATTTCTTGGCTACAAGAATTCTGGCTGGGAGAACTCCTGGTTAAGTGTGTTAGTTGCAATTGGGGGGGGGGTGTTCCTAAAATCCCATGCCTAGTACATCTAGTACATAAGAACATAAGAAGTGCTCTGCTGGATCAGGCCAACAGCCCATCTAGTCCAGCTTCATATATCTCACAGCGGCCCCACCAGATGCCTCTGGGAGCACACATGACAGCTAGATATCTGTCTCCAGATACCCCTCTCCTGCATCTGGCATTTTGAAGTACCTTCCTTTTAAGCCTGGAGATTATACACCCTCATCACAGCTTGTAACCTGCAATGGACTTTTCCTCCAAAAATCTCATCTTAAAGGCATCTAGGCCAGATGCCATCACTACATCCTGTGATAAGGAGTTCCACAGACTAACAACACACTGGGTAAAGAACAATTTTTTTTGTCTGTTATCACTCTCCCAACACTCAATTTGAGTGGAGGTCCCCTGGTTCTGGTATTGCATGAGAGGAAAAAGAGCTCCCCTCTATCCACTTTATCCATCTCCTGCATGATTTTATACGTCTCAGGCACCTCTTCTCTAGACTAAAGAGCCCCAAACGCTTTAGCCTTTCCTAATAAAGAGGCACCCCAGCCCAGTCATCATTTTAGTCGCTCGCTTCTGCACCTTTTCCACTTCCACTATGTCTTTTTTAAGGTGCGGTGACCAGAGCTGTACGCGAATGTTCCAGGTTCTAGTATTGCATGACAGGTAAAAGAGCTCCCCTCTATCCACTTTATCCATCTCCTGCATGATTTTATACATCTCAGTCATGTACCCCCCTCAGGCACCTTTTCTCTAGACTAAAGAGCCCCAAACGCTTTAGCCTTTCCTAATAAAGAGGCACCCCAGCCCAGTCATCATTTTAGTCGCTCGCTTCTGCACTTTTTCCACTTCCACTGTGTCTTTTTAAAGGTGCGGTGACCAGAGCTGTACACAGTACTCCAGGTACGGCATTACCAGTGTTTTGTACAATGGCATAATAATGTCGGCTGTTTTATTTTCAATCCCCTTTATAATGATACCTAACATGGAATTGTTCTTCTTCACTGCCACTGTGTACATTACTTTACATTTGCTTTTATTGAAACACATTTGCCATTTTGCTGCCCATTCTCCCAGTTTGGAGAGATCCTTCTGGAGCGCTTCACAATCCCTTCTGGTCTTCACCATCCGGAAAAGTTTTATGTCATCTGCAAACTTGGCCACCTCACTACTTATCCCTGTCTCCAGGTCATTTATGAGCAGGCTGAAAAAGAGAGGTTACTTACCTGTAACTCTGGTTCTTTGAGTGGCCATCTGTGAATTCACACTAATGGGTTTAATCTGTGCTTGTGCAGAAGTTTCTGGAATCTTCTAGAGCTGCTCGTTCACCAGGACCGCCCCCCTAGTACACATGGTCCACCCTTCCTGGTTAGTGCCTCAGTTCCCAAACTGCCCACTGCTGAATAAAATGAAACAGATGTGATGGATAGAGGGGAGGATGGATGGGAAGTGTGAATTCACAGATGACCACTCAAAGAACCAGAGTTACAGGTAATTAACCTCTCTTTCTTCTTCGTGGTCTCTGTGAATGCACACTAATGGGTGATTAACAAAGTTACCTGTCCAGAGGAGGGACATCACGGAAGAACAGATGACAAGACCACTCATCCAAATGCAGCATCCAACTTAGCCCAGAAGACCAAGTGGTAATGAGAGGCAAAGGTAGACGGTGTGGACCACGTAGCAGCCCTGCAGATATCAGGGACAGAAATGTCTCTAAGGAATGCTGCAGAGGTAGCCACTGCCCTTGTAGAATCAGCGTTAATTCCAACTGGAAGAGGTTTCTTAGCCAGCTGATATGCCAGGCGAATGATTGATACAAGCCACTTAGAGATGGTTTGGGAGGAGATAAAATATCCTCTGTGTGGTAAGTGAGGAGAAATAAAAAGTCTCTTGGATTTGCAGAAAGAAGCGGTCCTTAAAACATAGAAGGCCAATGCTCGCCTAACGTCTAAGAGGTTGAGAGAACACTCCAAGTCAGTAACAGGCAATGGAAAAAAGGTAGGTAAAATGATGGGTTGCTTAAGGTGGAATTCAGAAATAACCTTTGGAAGAAAAGAAACATCAGGATAAAGAGTGACCTTGTCTGGGTAAAATTGGAGAAAAGGAGAGTTGACTCTGAGCATAGCAAGTTCTGAGGGTCTACGAGCAGAAGTAATGGCCACAAGGAAGAGGGTCTTGTAGGCAAGAAGGCGATTGGGGCATTGTAGTGAGAGGTTCAAAAGGCGGTGCCATTAGGCATCATAGAACAGTATGTAGTGACCATTGCGGAAGGAGGTGTGGTTAGGTGGGTTGTAGATTGGAGACCCCTTTAAGAAATTGTTTTATCTTAGGGTGACAAAAAAGCAAAGAGGCTTCAGAGTCACTGATGAGCTAAGCTACTATAGTGGAGAGATAGACAATAATAGACAAGGACAGATGCTTGCCAAAAAGATAGGGAACTGTAGCATGGTGTGAAGAGTTGTTGGTGCAGGGGGAGGTGGCGTTGATCTACAAATTTAAGAAAAGCAGCCCATTTATATGAGCACACCTGCATGGTAGCAAGTTTTCTAGCCTGTACTAGGATGGCAGCTATCGGGGGTGAATTCTCCACACTGTGAGGTGGAGTGCGAGAAGATTCTGGGTGAGAAGGGGGGGTATGGGGAGAAGACTGATGAAGTCTATGGAAATGGACCGGAGCATGCTGAACCACGGTTGTCTCGCACACCACGGAGCAATGAGGATTGCATTGGACCACTCCTGACACAGTTTCACAATAGTCCTTAGGAGCAGAGGGATTGGAGAGAAGAGGTAAACTAGACCTGATGTCCATGGTGTCATTAGAGTGTTTCCAATGGAGCCGGGGGCCCATCCCTGCCCTGGAACAATAGAGAGGTCATCTTGCTTCCATTGGTTGGATGCCAACAATAGAGAGGGCATTTTGCATTTTCTGTTGATGCAAAAATGTCCATGTGTGGTTGTCACCATAGAGTGGTCAGTTGACAAAAGATGGAGTCGTCGAGAGACCATTTGTGCATCTGTGAACTGAGTCTGCTGAGAGAGTCTGCTATATGACTGTGGAGAGTGGAGATATGAACAGCTATTGGGAATATGTAGTGCTTGAGACACCACTCCCTGGACATAAGGTAAAGCAAGGGAAGAGAATGTGTCCCACCCTGTTTGTTGAGATAAAAGAGGGTCATGGTGTTATCGGTTATAATTTGAATGGCGGTGCCGGTGACCAACAGTTCGAATGCGCGGAGAGCCTTGAAGATGGCTAGAAATTCTAGGTTGTTTATATGAAGTAGTTTCTCAGAGGGAGACCATAGAGTGTGAACGTGCAGTCTGTTGTAGTGAGCACCCCATCCGGTCGGGCTTGCGTCGGTTGTTATCTGTATGGTAAGTTGGAGAGGTGCAAAGGGTCTGCCCATGGAAAGATTGGCTGGCATCTTCCACCACTGGAGCTGTGCTGCAAGTTCGGGTGTAACCCTTAATAACATGGAAGGTGGGTCCAACATGGGATTGAAGAGGCACAGGTACCAAGGCTGAAGGGAGTGCATTTTCAGGTGGGCGTGTTGGATGACAGATGTTGTAGACACAATGAGTCTGAGGAGGCGTTGGGTCTGAAGCGCAATGACTAATGCATGTGGCTTGAAGTACTGAAGGGCAGCATGAATCTTTGTAGCACTGTCTTGGGAAAGGTAGGCTCGCACTTTGCAGGAATCTAGAACTGCGCCTATATAGTTCACTCGCTATGAAGGTGTAAGGGTGGATTTGGCCTGTTGACCTGTAATCCAAGGTTCTTGAGGAGGGAAAGAGTGAAATTCACGCCGCTTAGTGCTTGAAGATGGGATGGGGCTACCAGTAGCCAGTCGTCGATGTATGGGAAGATGGAAGTTCCCTGAGTGTGGAGATAAGCTGCTACTGGGGCCATGCACTTTGTGAAGATGCGGGGAGCAGTAGAAAGGCCGAAGGGAAGGGTCTTGAATTCACAGACAGTATTTTGGAAAGAGAACCTGAGAAACTTTCTGTGATCCTGGCAGATATTGATGTGAAAATAGGCGTTGGTTAGGTCGTGACAGCGAACCAAATGTCACCCTGGAGAAGAGATAAGATGCATTCTAGAGTAACCATGCAGAAGCGTTGCTGAAAGATGTAATAATTTAGGTCCCGTAGGTCAAGGATAGGGCAGAAACTGCCATCTCACTTGAGTACTATGAAGTATCTGGAGAAAAACCCAGGGTCAGTGTCTGGTGAGGTGACAGGTAAAATAGCATCCTTTGAGAGAAGGGACTGGAATTCTAGGCTGAGAACATGGGATGGTGAGGTGAGGACTCTTTCAGTGGTGGGAAGATGGCGAATTCTATGGCATAAAGGTGGCAATGATAGTGAGGACCCACTTGTCGGTTGATGGCAGCCCAGGATGAAAAATGGGTGGCGAAGCAAGTTTGATGAGGATGCGGTAAGTGGAGCGGGGAAGACTGGGTTACTTGAATGTTACTTGAAAATATTTTGCTTTGGTTTTTTGTCAGGTCAATGAAAGGACTGACGGGGATGTTGGCGCTGAGCGGCATGGCGAGTCTGGAAAGTGG